CAAGTTTCATTCTGTGGATTGTGATAAGAATTTGGAGAAGAGTCAGTTCCTTATGTGCTTGGGTACGAAGGCGTCTACGTACGGCAGCGACAAGCACATGGCGTACTACATGCTGAACCATCAGGAGGTGCTGTGGCCGCAGGAACAGAATAATAATGAACAAACGAACGAAGGCGACGTAGATAAAAAAGAAGTTAAAGAAAAAGGTGCTAGCTAATACAGGGTTATATCGCCAGTCTTAAAATTCGGAACAAAGAGTATGTATCGTATCAATTCGGAAAAAGTGAGGTTATGTTTTTTGTTGTTCCACAGACTATAATGTTATAGAACAGACAATAGATAGCAAAGTTCTTTATTTTTTTAATTGGTCATGAACAAATATGTTTTAATTTAGGCTGTATGATTTTTTTACGCTTTTATTTTAAATACTTCGATTAACAATGAGCCACAATGACAGTGTATGTAAGAAAGAGATCGTGTGAGGTAATTTTACTTTATTGTACTAATGTAAATAAAAATATTTTCATTGTTGTATGAGTTAGTTTTAGAAATGGAATTACTATTTTCCTTGGATTTTTTAATCGAAGTATTTACAACGTTTGTACAGGCGTAGTTTTTTTAGTTACCTAACAATGACATATAGAAATTAGTTTTATGGTGTGTTTGTATTATTTTCGCTTTGAGCTGTACAGTTTTGTTTGCATTATTAATTTATTGTCATACGTAGATAAAAGTGAGATGTCGAAAATCCATATTTTTAGATGCATTTAGAACTTAGGTAATATAGAATAATAATTAAATGTTCCTAAGAATCAGACTATTAATTACTAAAAATACTTGAGGGGATACAGTTAGCATTTTAATATTGTTTTAATAGAAATCTTTAAGAATCCTATTAGAACATAGGATTTGATGAAAGTTTTGTGCCAAACAAAATGACCTCGTTAATGATAAGAGATATTGAAAATATTTCAATGCACAGCAATACAGAAATTGAATTTTTCTAATTCATAAAAAAAATCTGTTATAAAATAATTTAAAATGTACTAAAAAACATGTCTACCGTATTAAAATTTAAATCAAAGTATGCAAAGCGTACTAATCAGTTTCTTATCTAATAAACACGATAGTTCTTTGTCGTAATAACATCTCTTTCACACTTTTTAATCTATGATTTTTCCCCCGCTCTGATGTGTCTGCTTCTCACCACATACTCTTTGCCACTTATCTTTTTTTAGGAAGATACTATCAAAAGCAATACAGCATTAACAAAATTGTCTCCTTTTACTGTCTTTTTTCTTAATATACTGGTATGTTTTTTTTTTTAAAGAAATCGACGAAAATACTCAAACCCTGAACGGTTGTGAAATAAATTTGTATAACAGCTATAGTTTTACAGAAATGTATATAAAGGCAATAATTACTTATTAATGAAAAGTGAATAATTTATTATTAAACAATGTCCATTTGTGGCTGCTAACTCGTAAAATATAGATATTTTATAATAACTGTAGAACCATTTAATGTAAAATTTTTAAAATAATTTATTTTACACAAAGGTCCATGCTTTCTATTTGAATACATTTAATATTTCTCTGCCTTTCCAATTCTATTCTATTATAATTGCTCAATAATTGTTAAAGTACTAACTTTTACCTCGCAAATATGATACTTCCTCAGATTTATTGCTAAATTCTAATGTATTCACTTTGTATTTCTGTTTCTGTTTACAAAAGGGAAGGACAGAGATGACAATATTTGTACCGAGTGTTTCGGCACTGTTCAGTGATCTGTATAAATGGACCATCATTACAAACTGCGACGTCACCGGCAGATGGCGAAAATCAAATAGACACTTACCATTTGTTATCTGTCCATTTACACAGGTTAAAGGCACTTGAAGTAATAAAATCCTCAAGATATTTTGTTTTCGACTGTACTCGATATCATTTTAGAGTTTTTAGTTTTAATTTGAATTCAGTTGTTTTTTGAGTAAATATTTTACATGTGCGCTTTTATGTTTGTGAATTAAATTAATTCGTGTATTTCGTGATATTTAGCTATTTTTATACGTTGTAATTTCATCATTCCTTTTGCAGTTATGGATAATTTTATATCTCGTAATTTGTATTGTGTGATCAAGGAAGCATAATAATTTTAATTAAAAGATTACTTTCAATATCATTTTAAAAATGTTTCATAAGTTTTTTAAAAATATTCCTATCCACTTTACTTGTTTTAAATTACCTTTAAACTAATCGCCAGGAATTTCTTTTTGTTTTTGTTTAGTTGTTAATAATAATTCGCTATTTGTTAAAGCTATTGGAATAGACCAAAGATATTCCATGGTTATGTTTAATTTTTTCAACATCCACCAATGATCTCTATAGAAACAGACCAGATAGGTACTGAGAAATGATAGCTTTTGCGCCTTCGACTAAAAGTATCCATTGAAGTTACATTTGTGTCTCTCCGTTGACGCCAACGGCAACATGGCGAAAATCATTTAGGCACAAAATTCTTTAACCTATAGCCTATCCGGTAAATATAGAGGTCCACTTTTAACTCTTTCTTTTTTTTATGTTATTACAACTACGCTTTTTTTAATGTAATCGGAAATGTTATAAAATGTTTTAACAAGACAATGTTACATTCTTAAATATTAAAATAACCAGTTATAAAAAGCAACCAGTAATAATGTTTTCTTTTTTTAATTTGTAAAGGACAAATATTCCGATTAATAGTGTTCTGGCAGAATGGTGCTGACCTATTAAATAACAAATTCTAGGTTATAAATGTATTATTATTATAAGTATTTTTTACGTAAAGATGCTGTAAATGTTACTTTGTGCTCACTAAGTGCCAATATTTTAGTGCTAAGTAGTTAATTATCTAAACGTATGTACAGTGTTTATTATATTGTATTACGGTTTCTTTTTTATATCAAGTATTGTGATTCGAAAGTGATTAAATTGAATGAAAATAGTACGAAATAAAATATATTTTTCACCTATAGTTTGTTTCATTTTTTATAGATTAATCACTGGATATCGCGGGAATATATCCTAAACAGATTAAAAAACCCTCGCCATGTTGCGGTACAATGTGGCACTACTTCCTTTGCGCATATCAGAATGTGTTATAACAAAGAAGGCAATTGAATTTCCAGAATTTTTATGATCTTGGTTACACAACACCTTATTTATTTTTTTACTGACGCGACTGACTGGCTCCATTTTTTACAACTAACCAGATAGTGTCGAAACGCCCGAACTCATATTGTATACAGCATGCTTACAAAAGTAAAAAGTCTTTCGCTAAACTGCATAAGAACACATTGAAACGTTTCGAAGACAATGAGTGGAAGGTTAGGTTTTCGCGTTAGGCCGATCGGCCTACTGATCAATCAACCCAAGATTCGAAGTAGAAAAATTTCCTATCAGCATCTTAAACTATGTTATTCAGGCTGCCACTTCACATAATCTTTGGCAACTTCTTCGTGGTATTGCGTGCCTGACATTACCGCAACAATTAAGGAAACTTTCGCACGGACTGCAATAGACAATTAGATGTTTCGCCATAGAGCAGCAGCATCAGTCCGCAGGCTATTGTCTATGCTCGTCAGTTATGTAACTTTATGTAATGCATTGAGATGATAGTAGGGTCAGCAGACATTTTTGAATACCCTATAATTAATTACAGAACCCCTTTATGATGATTACTGTGTTTCTTTCTTATAGAACGCATTACAAAACAAACGCGAAATTCAACGATTTTACTGACTTGGTTACGAACAACACGCAGATTTGAAGCGACTAGACCAGGGGTGGCCAACCACTGGCACCCGACAATATTCAGCACTTCACTGATTATAAAATTCATTTTGTACGAAAAAAGTATGAAGTTAATATTATAGTGACAAGCTGCACTCCGCTATGAAATGGACCCGATAATTATAGTCAGAAATATTTGATGGCACGTCAATAACCGTATTAATAAACAATAACACTTATATGTAAAGGTTCACCACCCCTGGACTGCGCTTCAATGATAATGATCCGTGGGTAGCGACAGGTCAGCAGTTGTGGCTACGAAACTTGCGGTTATTTAGCAATGTACTATATTCAATTCTTTATCTTTTGTACTCGTAGTAATGTAAATCATACTAAGATTATAAATGCGAAAGTTTAGATGGATGGATGTTTGTTAGAGTTTGTAGCCCAAACCGCTGAACGGATTTCGATTAAATTTGGTATTGATGTAGAGGTTAGTCTGGAGTCTGGAAGAACACATAGGTACACACTTTTTTTAATGCCATGGGACGGAGTCGCGGGCGTAAGCTAGTTACGTTACAAAGGATTACTTGCATGCAATAATCTAGGGGCACAGTCCTAAGCCGAGCACAGCCGAACCATCATTCGTTTATATTTTTTTCCTAAAGAGACTTAGAGCATATTTCACATTTTAATGCTATTTATGTAAATGTTCTTAATTCGTAAACATTCTAAATTATTAAATAGTACTTTTTGTCCAGTGATATTAATTACAAAAAGTAAAACCAAAGTTTTGAAATTGATAAGTATTGAGTTTCGTGGCCCGATCATTAGTCATGAAAATGTACTAATGCATCAGAGTTCATTAAAGTTTCTACAAGTGATAATAATGATGGTGCTTGTGGTCGCGTAATATTTTAGAATGGATCTTAAGTAGACCCATATCTCATCTAATTGATTTATTGTAATATTCGCATGTTTTCACTTTAAACAATTAACGTGAAACCTTTTCTATTCTAAGTTGCAAAACAAAAGGAATGGATTTAGCAATAGGTGTATCAAACAGCAATTGGTCAATTGGAGAAGGGCCTCATAAAATACTTATCCTGGTTACGTCGTGACCTTTCGTTAGAGAATGTTACTTACTAGTATGTAACCTATGGCAGTCTGTTCAAAGTGAAACAAAGGTATACGGTGTCGAAATGTATTTATTGTTTTTTTGTAAAAAAAAACTTAAAAATAAATTAAACTACATTAACAATAAACTTTATACAAAACAAGGAGTGAAGGCCGGCGGGGAGACACTTCGCGTGAGAATTGGAGCGACTGTCCCCCCGCCGGTCAGACCCGTGAGCGCGCACAGTCGCAGGCGTTGGCCGAGCTGGCAGCGACCGCGGTCACCTACATTGTACGTGACCAGCGGTCCATTGGTTTAACTATTCGGACGAGAGATGGCGTTGCGCCCGAATTACGAACGCGTTGAACGTACGTTTAGTAGGGGGCGCCATAGCTGCCCGAGGGGGCTGAGGGGTAGCCACCGCTGGAGCCTCCTGACTGCTCGTATTGTGCGACCTGAATGGCTTGACGGACACCCTCGAGGTTGATGTCTACGACGCGGCTGCTGTAGCCGGGTACGCCGTATGAGGAGGAGGGTACGCCGTAGGAGGAGGATGGAGCGCCGTAAGAGGAGGAGGGCGCGCTGTGACCGCCGCCAGAACCGGAAGATGCTTCCTCCTTAAGGAGGATCTGGCGCACCTGCTCCAGAAGCTGGGCGTCGACGTGTTGGCCTTCGGAGGTCTGGTAGCCAGCGGGCACTGGCTGCAGGGGGCCGCCACCGCTCAGGCCACCGCTGAAGCTACCACCATGGCCGCCTGACGGCCGGTTGTAGCTGTACCCGGATGGGGGCTCGGCGCCTGCGCACGCCACCAACGCCAGGGCTATGCACTGCACAACAAAATATACCATTAGTACTTGTTGGTAAAATTACTAACTAAATTACCCTTTTCCATCTAAACAATAATGCTTTTATGATGACGCAATCACTGAAATTCACATGTATTCGTTAACTTTCAAACGTGTCCTAATATTTTGCCTTTTCTTGTCAAACAGAAACCGCGAGTGATGTAATAAACGACAATTGATAATATTCTAATGCACGTTACGTGAACGAGAATCGTTCTCATCGGATTTTTTGAAAGAGGCAGGTGAACAATAATGGTCGTGTGAAATATAGACCCGGCAATTAATTAAAACGCTTTCTACTTTTTTACATCTGTGAAACATTGTGCTTTAAAGTCTATGGTAAATACGATATTCATCGAAACCGTTACATCGCGTGTTTATTTAGAATAGAATCTCGTTTTAAACAATTCAGAAAGTCTATGTTTACCTCAATTACTATTAAAATAATTCATAAGTATGTCATGTTGATAAACCTCTTTTTATCAGCTCTCAGGTTAATTGGCGAGTGAAATGTGCGTCGCGAGGTCAAGTGATAACGCTAGGTTCTGGTTTTCTAAAATTTATCGACAATCTTCACTTTCTTTTTGCTTAGGAACGCAGTGAAATTCGGACTATTGATAGACATCGAAGCGGATGTAATTTTTACATTTTTAAAAACGTCTATTCTATAATATTGTAAAAGCTACGCCAAGTAATAAAGATGTTTAGATTCTAGCAGGATTAAACCTTTTCTATATTTTAAATCGTACTATACTTTCAATCGTGGCATTGTGTTTATATCAATTGTAACGATTCACGACTCGTTAAATATGGCTTTAGGTCACAAACGTGCATCTAGCGAATCTAGATTAGGCATTAGAAAGGAATACTTTTAGGATTTACATAACTATAATTTACAATAGCGCTCGTTGCAATTTTTATCGCAGTAAACTGTATTTATTATCCTTTACTAGAGTGAAAGTGCTTTATCATAGGTCAGGGAAGTTACAAAATTACGTAACAGATGGCGTGGAGATCGTTTCCCGCCAATAATGTTTGACTCTATTAAAATATTTCTAACCTCAATTTAGAAATATTTAGATCTGTTATGTTAAACATGCAAGTCATTGAGCATAAATAGAATAAAATCGTTGAATTTATAGAAAAATACGACTGCGGCAATTTTAAGCGTATTTCTACCCGAATATTTAAGAAATTTCGAATAATTATTTTTATACACGAGACATAGCCATTATCTTTTGGATTAAAAAAATATATGCTTTCTATAAAGACGACCTCATTACATCACAATATGTCTTCCGCTAAATGAGCGGAAATCTTGCAAACTTTTATTTATCCCATTTACATAAACATAGTGTATTTAAAAATTAGTAATTCAAATTAAAGCAATCCGAATTAATTTTAATGGAATTTTTAATTCAGTGAAAGTTAAATAAAATTGAAGAATTCGAATCATAACATTTAGTTAATATCGCGGCTAATGTATCGACAAGCTCTGAAATAGGGTAACCATATATTTTGTTAATCCGAGACATGTGTTTGACATATAATGCTATATACTTTTCATGAGTTATATTACAAAAATAACTTTATCCAATCTTTTATCATGACGATACTCAGAGTCATAGCTACAAAAGTAGTCAAGTAATGTAGTTTTTATATCTACACTAAGCGTCACCCTTGGTGAATTAAACGTGCTCTGGGCATGTTTTTAAATATTTGTTTTTCGTTTGCAATATAGGTAAATAAATTCCGCTTGAATATGAAACGTGAAGTCACCCTAGTGAGTCAATATGCGGGTACTAAAAGTTTTACGGGCGTACTGTTTGCGGCCGGTAGCCACCTCTGCGGTGAATGTTTAATTTATGGTCTGCCACCGACACGGCCATTACTCTATGGTTTATTTATTTATTAACAAATAAACGCTACTTAGACATAATTTGTGAAAGAAAGTGGCGCCAAAAATAATTTATTTAATAACACGGAATATTATTAAAACACTTTTATAGGATTCCATTTTGCTATTGTAAAGTTGAATCTGGTTGAAATAAAAAAATAAGATCATAGAGTAACTAACATAGAGCATAAACAGCTGTCAAAATTTTCCCGCGCATTGTTAGTTGGTTACGTCATTACATTCGTAATCGACTAATTATCGATTCCAAACACGGGGGCGCTTAGAATCGAATGGAATGAACAAAATCGATTTCAACATGCAATAGAAGGTTAACCGTTTGATGTGACCGCATGAGTTATTCAGCTATTTAGGTGATGGCTGATCTAAAAAATTCGGACTAGAATAATTAGCAGAAATACGTATTAATTAAAATTACTCGTCTAATTAACTAAGACTTAAAGATGTCACTACTAACTTAATGTCCTTTAGTGAGGGTCGGCACAGTAACTCTTCCATACATTTCTATCAGCCGTTATGTTTGAATTAACTCTGACGCATCTTCTTTCTCAGAATCCATCCATACTTTCTTTGGTGTTAAATTAAAATTGTTTTATAATAATCTCTTGTTAATTCTACTTTTATGAATGGTGCATATTATCATTGCTTACAGAATTACTTGAAATAATTAACGCTAGTCTATGGAAGCTATCTATTTCTAAGTTAACGAAAGTTTGAATAAAAACTGTGACTATGTATGACTAGTCTAAGCTATAATATATTAATACTATTTGTTGCTCGCGTCTTCGTCCGCGTGGTAATAATTTTTTAATGTAGCCTATGTTACTAAGTGATAGCGTAGCTATTTGTTGCTAAAACACATTTGAAATATGCCCGTTAGTTTTTGAGTTATTTCAATACATACAAAGATATGAATCTTTCCTCTTTATAATATTAGTATAGACGAGGAATTTGGTAAATAAGTATGTGATAGTTTAGTATCTGGTTTCTGGTACAATTTCGTTGTATTGCGTGGAAGCGCTTGACCTCCGACCCGGTGCAGTCTTTGACATTTCGCAACTTAGCGAAGGGAAAACTTAGAGTTACGTAATCCAAGTTAATGTAAGTTACGATAAGTATATTACTAGTAAATTACGTATTAATACTTTTACAATGCGTATTAGAATGTTTTTATGATTTTATGCAGAAAGGGAAAAGACCAAAGTTCACAATTTATGTCCATTATTGTGCGTAGTTTTGAGTTTAAAATTATTGTATCACCTTTTTTGCGATTTACAATATTTTAGTAAAATATGTACGGAAAGAAAAAATGGTATTTTTTACAAAAAATAATATGAAATTCTGAATAATCGTAAAAATAGTGTTTAGAGAAAATTTTTGACTGACTAAAAAAGTAAGCCACAAACTTTGGCTCCTATAAAGTTAAAATAAAACTGGTCACAATAAAAAATCACGTGATTTAGTTTATTTTCGTCCGATATACATAGAGAGTATCGCATTAGTGTGCGATGCTCTCTCCGAAACTAGTTAAGGTTTTCGCGCGTTTTAGTATTCCATTGTAAAGCTTATAAAATACAAGCATCCTTGCATATAGATTATAACCTATTTTGGATAAAGGAGACATTATAGTACAATAACGTATTTTAAAAAGTTTATTAGGAAAACCAAATATTTTACTAGTTCGAAATCTTTCATTAGGACAAGTTATAGATGGCGCTATCATGAAATTAATTTGATTCGATTCCCGGTTTTTCAGGCAAATTATTTATTTATTAACTTCTCTATTATTTAGGCGCCAAATTCTAAAACATCAAAATTCTTGAGTTGTAAATACGAATAATCTAAATATGAAATTTATTTTAAAATCAATTAAAAAAGGATTAATTAAATTAATATCTATTACAACAGTGATGTCCGTTCTAAAATCATTCGAGTGCAATCCTTTGTCAATATTTATTTTACGAATACAAAATTCTCAAGACGAATCCCGTTTCATAGGATACGGTTCACAATTCACGTACATGCACTGTATGATTTGAGAATGGCACATCACTAATCACTGGTCACGTCGCGGACACTTACCGCTACGAAGGTTCTCATGTTGCTAGCGATGTCACTGGGGTTCAAAGCGAACTGGTGTGATGTATTGTGAGTGCAGTAAGTCTATATAGCGTGTGCGGTGCGGTGGGGAGGAGAAAGGACGGGTTGTGTAAGCTGGGAGATGCTGCTATCGGATAGGAAATTATCTAATTAGAGGGCGTCACGCCAATTTTTTCGACCATCGATTAGAGGTCGAAGGTTGTACACTGCACGCGATCATAGTTTAAAGTACTAGGCCCAATCTAGTATCCAGAGGTATCAGATGTCATCACTGAGTTTGCTGATATCGAATTTCATAACTGTTGTGGAACTAAAATGAGTGTAGGAACGTGTGGGAAAAATCTCGAACAGGTTAAAACTTCGTTATTTCAAAACTACACATATCCTTGAATGTTACGTTTAGTGTTCTCATGCATCTCTATCCGTCGCTTTATAATACTAAAGTGCAATATTAATACTTCACAACTTTATTTCAAAGGGGTAGACAGAGACTACGGTCCATGATTATGCGATCATGACTCGCCTCTCTCGTGTCTACATTAATATAGTTATATGCATACTTGCATGTTTGTTTCAAGTGCTCTTAGTACTAATATAAGAAAGGGATATATAAACGTGTCTTATTTGTTGTTTAATCTGCAGTTATGTCATATTATTACCGACATATTTACTGGGAACTAGCGACAAACAAGCGTACTGTGTACGAACTTGTTAATTGTTTTGTTTACTTAAATAAAAGAGTAGCTTTTATATTCAATTAACTTGAGATTTTTCATCACTCACAGTGGTTAATTCGGCAGACTCTTAGTCGAGATTGCAAAGGACTATCTATACTATTATAATAAAGCGTAAACACACACTTCTTTGTTGCCTAAGATGTCAGTATTTACAGCATATTTTTGAATAATTGTTTTTTAAATAAAAAGGCGTTCACTTACATCACGCTTTAGGCTATATATTTTCACGCTATTAAACTTAGGGGGTTAATATTTTGGATAAAAACCCTAATGTGGGAGAGAAACCATAAGTTGCTGCCTACATCAAGGAAGGAAGATTGCCAAGGTTTGTCATGTCATGTCATTTTAACATTTGCTATGGATAATTTGACAATTGTAAACAATAAAGAAAAATCTTCATAATTTCATGCGGATGAAGCCGCACGGGAACAGCTAGTAAGTTATACATGTCTGGTGAATTTGTACTGAAATACTGGGTAAACCTAAAGCTGTCTTAGCTAGTATACTTAGGGTGCAACATTCATAAATATAATAATACCAAGGTAAGGTATTACGCGTATTGTGACGTCACAATTGCAGTAGAAGAATAAGCCGTGACTTGCACGATATCGCTCCAGGAAGGGTACAGCATTAAATACAAGTTTATACTCCTATGTTTATAGTAAAGATATACTTAGAGGTTTTTAAATATTATTTGACCAATTATTTTACAGTACTCAACAAAATTTAAAATGGAACAACGCCTACATGCCAATTCAAACAGCAGACACGTGTTAAGCTTCGTAGCCTTTCTCGTACCCTCAAGTTGTAGCTTGTAGCTGTCTTAAAAACATATGTTGTGCTATTTACATGCCAGTTACTGTAATGTCATGTATTCTTGCCTTAAAGTTTGGTATCTGTACTTGACATTAAGTTGCAATAGTTTTACCATGGCCGTAAGTGTAATGAACTGGAAACTGGGAATTCTGCCAATGTTCCGACAATGAGTGTGGTATAGTGATTTACCTGAATACAATTATTGTGATTTAGACGTCAAATAAGATAATTTAACCAAGTTTTTTTTAACTTTTAAATTATACGAAAAGTGAATTAAAGAGAAATCGTACAATTTCTACGTATGTTATCTTGAATGTTTCATATTTCAATATAATCGCAAATGCAAAAGTAATTTGCAAGCGGGGAACATGTTTCGGCATTACAAATTGTAATCTAATGACGCTTTCGCGGTTAACAGAATATTAACTATAATTTTATGAATATTCAAGTGATATATTTTGGAATATTTATCCCCTTCTAAATGTTCCAAAGGATTTTGACATCCCATTTGAATGTCACGAGAATCTCATCCCATTTAGTTTGTTTCATTGAAGGCACGGTTTTTTATTATATTTGATAAGCTAGCTTAACCACGATCCCACCTGAAGGAAGTGACGCAGTCGAAAGATGGTACGCGCTAGCTAGCTAGCTGTTCACTCTCTTGAAAGACTCCCACGTCATATTTGAACGGGGAAACTGATGCTGGCAACATGTTCCAACCCTTTACAGTACGCACGAGGAAGGAACTTTTTCGTTCGAACTTGCGGTACATCAACTACGAAAGGATGGTATTCGTATGTCGTATGTTCCACAAATAGTGTTGAAAGTCTATTGCATCTTAGACAGTAGCTAACCAATGTATATCGAAAGGTTTAATATCAAGTTGTTTGTGGTCAAAAGGCATTGAGCTGTAGAATTTGGTTGCTTAGTTTGCTAAGTGCTAATTAAAACACATGTTATAATGATTTTAAAGTTTCTCGACTAAATTATTCTGACCTTTATGTTACAAAATCTTTAAGAATATTAACAATCGAAAATAATTCTTGTCTTTTTTTTATTTCAGCTCGTGGAAGGCGGAGGAGTGCGAACTGTGTAGTGAGGAAGGTCTATGTCCAGCTGTGAGCAGACAAAAGGTAATGAAAGTGACGATGATGTTAGTTTAAAACCAACGATCTTTAGATAAATTGAAAACTAGATTAAAATTAGAATACTAGAAAAAGATAAAATAAATCTACAATAGAATTTTTTAAAAACATTTTCTATATTGTATGAACAAATTCCGATATTAAATTACTAGCGTTCGCCCGCGACTCCGTTCGCGGGAAATTAAAAAAAAAAACAAAAGTGAGTACCATAGGTTAGGCTATGTGTCCTATGTGTCCTTCCAAACTATCCTCTACATCCATACCTGATTTCATTGCAATCCGTTAAGCCGTTTAGGATATAAACTCTAACAAACATCCATCCATCTAAACTTTCGCATTTATAACATTAGTATGATTTATTTTACTACACGTATTTTGAATAGCGCCATCTTGCGAATAAAATGTATTTGCAATTTAAAACAATGGAGTGTGTGAGAATAATCTACGCATCATCTTTCAACAATATTCGGAACACATTCAGACTTTAGTTTCTCAAGCGTAAAATAACGGCATGAGGTTATCTACGATTAGTGACGTGTGTCCCAAATACATACGCGGAAGCGTTAAAACGATTAACTTTAAATATTTAATTTAGCGTAGTTTAACTTTGATACTGTTAAACTAATTTTTAAATTAATAAATAAATTGTTAAAATTCAAAAAAACTTAATTGTTTTACAATGTATATTTGTGAGTCAATAAAATTAATTAATTGCAAAGATAATTCAGATTTGAATAACGTTAATATTAGTAAATAAATGTCTTAAATATAAAAAAATAATGCTTTATTGTGCATAAAATGCTGTAACAAATGACTTCTGAATAATTAACACATTCCAAAAGAGTAGCATTCAATAAATAGTGAATTAATCTTACAATGTTATTTTTAAACTTAAAAGTTAGAACTAGAAATTATGTCAAATATTTCATGCTTTTAAAATTAAGTTGTTGTCTTTTTTCTCAGTAGATTTTCTTTATCAATGATTAATATTCACACTATTCTTTAAGTATCACAGATAAAAAAGTATTCAAATTATACAGAGTGTGTTAACGGTACCGCTTATGACTTGTGTCCGAAATCTGACAAATTATGAAATGTCAGAAATAACGTAAGCTCTCAATTTTTTCTACTACGGCCTTAAAAAAACTAATGAGGCTTGCGCGCTTTAGAAAAATATTGTATTGCGACGTGTCTTCATTGACCTCGAATGTTTTCTTTGTATAAAATTCGTGTCTGCACTTCCTAGTGTTCAGTTAAAGACTAGATCTAAGGCTAGTCTAGGTAACACGTAATCAAATTCTAGTTGTATTGTTTGTAACATTATTGCTCAAGAAGTCTAGATTAATCAAAAGTAATTAGCATTTAGAACACGAATAAAATTATAGCTTTCGAGTGTCTGTACATTTTACTTGTTAATAATACAATATGTCCTATTTATCATTAATAATCTATGGTTTTTATGCGTGAAATGGCTCCATCATAAATCACGCGGTTTGCCGCTGTTACATCGATCAACGATGACATGCGTAAATTGTAGAGAGTACGGTATAGCTACGGGCTATGTTACTGGCATAACATTGGCGCAGACACAATATTGGTCAATAAAAAAAGAAATTAAAAACAAAACACATCCATCGCTACATTACGTCCTAAAATTCAATACTTACTTTTTATTAAGCTTGTAGTTGGCATGATTGTTTTATTTTAACCTTAAATTTCGCAATATTTCGTGATTATCAGTTCTTTTCATTTATTTTATTCCAACTTCACGTCTTTAATACTTTCATCCACTTTTTTTTCCAAAATGGCGGCTTTTTGAAGCTATTCTAACCTCTATTACAACATGCCAGTTAACAAGTGTTGAATACATATGGTAGTTTTTTAACAGCGTTCTGTATGCGCATAGATGCAGTGGCCTTCGCAGACAGGGTCGGCAGTTTAGAGTAGAGATTCCGCACACGTAAAGTTTGGTGCTGTGCAATGCGCGTACATAATGAATGAATAATTAAAACATGCCCTAGTATTGTATAGTAAAATAGTCTACCAAAAACAATTACGCATCACTAGTTGTCGCCAGTGACTTCATCTGCACGCGGTTAAAAAAATCTATCTGTTCTTCCAGACTATGTTCTAGAATTATGCCTTTCAGCGAGATCCGTTTGTCCTAGAAGAGAACGAACATCCATCCAAATCGCATTTATATTAGTACGTATCGCATGTATATTAGAATTAACTGCTTTTCACTATTATTATCTTAATTCAATGTAGTTACATTTCTGACCGACTTCCCAAAAGAAGGAGGTACTCAATTCGTCTGTATGTTTTTTTTATACGACTGTAATTTTTGGGTATGTACATATGTGCATTTTTTATGCCGATTATCTTCAT